CCCGCCCACCCACCGGCCCACCGCCCCAGCGCCCCACCGCCCCACCGCAGCCCCTGGCTTCGGAGGAACGTGCGCGTTGAAGTGGGAGGAGAGGAACGGGCGGGTGTGTGAACACGAGTGTGGGGATCCTCGAGTGCCCGCAAAGGCGTGTGGCGGACTGATGTGGCGCTGAAGGCAACGGGGACTCGGCCGGCTTGCTCGGGTGCCCCCGGGACGAAACAGTGTTTTACAGTTAGAATAACCAGTTGCAGTAGTCAGAAGAATGTAAAATAACCATCATTTTAAGAAAAATACGTGAAATAAAAACCAACGTTTTAGGCAGTATTTTGGTCTGAGTTGGATCAAATTTTGGGACAATAAGTTGTGTGAAGCTTATGCACAAACACGTGAGAAGTTTAGTCCTAACTTCTGAGAACACAGCTAAAGAGACCCTTAATGCTTGCAGATTTTTGCCTGCGACAACTGACAGAATTTTTCAGCAAAGGTTTTTTAAGGGGCAGAGCTTTTAAACACTCAAGAGAAATGTAATCTGTCTATAGATATTGTGTGTCAGGAAAACAATATAGTAGAGTTACCCATAAAAGTCTGTTTACCGCTTAGGTTCGTGTTTAATAGGTGACTTCACTAGGTTATCTGGAATATTGAAGTATGATTTAAGAAATTTTGGCAACGAATCCTGTTAAAAATACTAGGGTGAATATTTTTAATTGGTAAATGAGTTTTTGTTGTTTAGACTGCTTTTAGGTATTTTTCGTCATGCAGTCATATTTCGCTGACATTGATTTACTTAGAGCAGTTTCTTAAACACAGAAAAAGTTACACTTCTAACTTAAAAGCTGGAATTCATTGTATTTCACTAACCTGCTTCTTAGGCTAAGTTCTTGTGGTTTTTTCGTATTATTGTGTGCACAAGTCTAGCCATTGTTACTTTCCAGGTTGATTGGGTACTAGCAAATTAAGCATTTTCAAACAACTTGAACTTTGAGTTTTAATACATAGTTTCCTTTTTTCTTGTTTGCAGACTTCTTATGTTTTTCAATATTTAGTATTTAAAGTAAGTTTTTAAAGAATCCTTGATTAGATTTAAATTCACCTTACACGATTGTTGTTTTAGGTCAGAAGGCACTACTATTGTATAAAATGTAGCCTTAACACAGATGATAAATAATAGGGAGATTTAGTTTCTCTTAACTCTTCACGTGTCAGTGATTTTGACGTTGAAGTATAGTTTGTCTCCCTGAGTATGTACTTATCCAAGTAAGCAGAAGTAATTATGAACAGACATTGGCTGCAGGTGACATCCAGAGCCACTTTCCTCAGTGATAAGGCATCCCCACTTTCCCAACCAGATGCTGGGGATAGAACCTAGGCCCAGCGTTTTACCACATAGCTGCTGTGCTCCCTATTTAAAGCCACTGACAGCTTCATAATTTTAAGTGGAGGTTGGTTAGTATCTTACGGACTTGAGTTCTATATGCTTCTTTAATAAAGGCTTGAGTTAAAAAAAAAAAAAAAGCAACTTGACTTTCCCACGTCAAGATAAGTATTTTTTTGTGTTCTTAAAATTTATGGATAGGGACTGGGGAGATGGCTCAGTAGACTGCTTCCTTGGTAAGAGCAAGGGCCTGAGTTCAATCCCTGGTTCTGAAAAAAAAAAAAAAATTATGGATATTTAAAATACAGTATCTGAATGCCTCTTCCCTCTCCTCCCTCCCTCTCTGTCTCCCTCTCTCTCTTTTCCCCCTCTCTAGGCTGGCCTTGAGCTCACTTTGTAATTTAGGCTGGTCTCAGGTCACAATGATCCTTGTGCCTCAGCCTCCAGAGTGCTGGGCTTATTGGCGTGCACCACGCCTGCCCCTGAATATTTCTTATGTGATTTTATCTGATTCATATTCACAGCTTGAGGCTATTTTGCTAACACTTAGGATTAAGATAGAAATTGTGCTTATACCTGTATAGATTGGTTTCTGACATTAAATAGGTTTCTTGCTATAAGTCTTATTTCCTGTTGTCATTTCATATTCCTCTGTTTAGTGAATTTGTAAGTAGGAATATATCAAATTTTGCTGAGCGCTCTTCCTCTTTTTCTCTTGAGAATCTACCCTCCCCCCCATAAATGCCTTCATTTGTTTTTGAGCTTCCAAAGATGGCCTGTTTCTAGAGAGGATTGTAGTTGTCCAGTGCTGTGAGGGGCTGGGTGAAGATACTTAATAAAACTTGGTAATATTGCAAAGCACAATTAATAAAAAAAAGCACAATTGACCTAACCCTTAAGTTATGCCTTCAAGTAGTATCTTTAGGTTACCATTAATCCTAACTCATGTTCACTTAGATTTCCTTGGGAGGAAGGAATCAAACTCAGGACCTTGGACTTGCTGGGCAGGTGCTGTGCTGCTGAGCTGTACTTAACAGTTTTAAATGCTAGTGTGGTAGAAAAAGTTTCTCCAAACATTATTATTTAGGCTTTTTTTAAATAGTGATTTTTATATTTGACAGTATAGACAGAAGACAGCTTTCACTTAAATTACTTTGCTTTCCTAGTTGAAAAGTGAATTTACAGAGATTTTCAAGATTCACTGGGCCAGGTATGGTGGTACATGCCTGTAATCTCCAGCAATCTGGGAGGCCCAGACAGGAGGAGAATTGTTGTGAGTTTGAGACCAGCCAGTAAAGTGAGCACAAGGCCAGTTTGGAAAAAAATGCTTTTTCTCTGTTTTAGTAGTGTATTTAGAGACAAAGTTAGTATTTTTTTTTGTAGTAATTTTTTCAGTAACTCAGGTAATTGAACTTTATGAATGAAAAATAATTGCCTAGTTAACAGGTATCACCTTCCAGTGACTTACTATTTTTAAAAAAATCTTATTTATTTTAGTTTAAAAAATTTTTATTTATTGGGCCGGCCAAATAGCTCAGCGGATTAAAGCACTTGTAAACAGATGCAGGGGCAGGGGGTTGGGGCACGCTGAGACAGCAATTGAGACTGGGCCTGGTGGCACGCCCCTGTAATCCCAGCACTTGGGAGGTTGTAAACAGGAGAATCACTGTGGGTCCGATCTAGTAGTGAGACCCTGAACACCCTGTAGACCCTTCCCTAAAATACAGGAAAAAATATTTATTCACTTGGTACATGGTCTTGCTGCAGAGCTCAGACTCATAGGGATCCTCCTGTCTCAGCCTCCCCAGTGCTGGGATTATAGGCATGTGCCACTATAACTGGTGGGTTTTCTTTTTTTTTTTGGTGGAACCAGTGATTGAAGTCAGGCCCTTGTGCTTGCCAGGGAAGCACTTATTCTACTGAGGTATCTTCCCCAGCCCCTACACCTGGTTGTAGTGACCAGCACAGCATGCAGTATGGGGAATCAAACTGCTGTCAATGCACACTATAGATTAAGTGCAGGGTTTTGTGTTGTTTTTACCCTTGGTTAACTTTTTATGTTCTTCTAAAGTGTTTTACACAGTTTAAAGTGATTAAGCATGTTGACAAAATAATAGTTTTAGTATGTTCCCCTCGACACATTTAGTTACTGTGATCCTATCCATTTTCATGTTACATATGGCTGATTTTCACTTACTGTTATTTTCTTGTTCAGAAAGGGTGAAAGACTTGAGAGAACTGAGAATGTATATATGTGTATATCATTGTACCTGCCCACTACAAAAAAGAGGTAGTAGTACCAAATGTGAAAGAAGAGGGAATTGAAGTGTCACAGAATATATTAATTGACTGCAAATGAAGCAGGGAAAATTAAGTCATCCTTTACTTGGAGCAGGATACATATTTGGACCACAGTAACTTCAAAATTTGTTTCCTAACGGGATTTGATGTAATTGGCTATTCCATAACAGACACTACAAACCTGTCTGGTCAACACTGCCTGACTAAAATAGAATCTGTAATTGATTCTTAAAGTACATACAGTATGGTGGTAGGGTTGGAGAAACGAGAGGATTATTTACCTTTTTAGTCCTAAAAAGAAAACCTTAATTATGTAGGGGACCTGGTTTGAGGATAGAGTTTTGTCATTTCTATTTTAATAGTACATCTGTCAGAAGCATCAAGTTTTAGATTTTTGTTTTTTTATTTTTTAAGACAGGATCTCAGCATGCAGTTCAGGCTGACCCTGAACTTGCTGTGCAGCCCAGGCCTGGCTTCAAATTCACAGCATTCCTGCTTTAGTATCCAGAGTGCTGGCACTACAGCAGGTCTGGAAGTTTTATGTCTTAAAGTGGTGGTACTTGGTTTTGGGCACTGTTTTTGAAAGACACAGTGAGGGAGTTTTGTTTTATTTTTTCTTTTGTGAGGGAGTTTTAACTAAGATTAAATTAGTTTTATTCATTCAGGCACCAAGGTGAATGTGCAGTAGAGACAGTGGCCTTAGTGCA